CAAAGCGACTCGGCATCACCTTGTCGACGGCATTCTACAGAGAAAACATCTCTGCAATCATCAACTCGACTTATAAAGCCTTGTCAACTCAGCTAAGGCGAGTCAAATCGACTACCACTGTTACCGCTGGGATCGTACCAAGAACTGTCGCACCTCTACCAGAAACAGGTAAGCACTGTTAGCGGATTAGCAATGGTCTCTTAATAACATTGCTTTAACAATACTTTATCAACGCGGGAATGAGTATGATGAACAGCACAAAAAAGAAACACAAAAAAAAATTGACAAATCAATCACTACTCATGTACCATTATGGGCGTAAATGTAATTTTTTTCCTGAATTATTTTTTCTTTTGTTCTCGCAAGCAGCCTAATCGATTTGGTTCATAATTTGACGAAACCAGATTGAATTAGATCAGGTTCTGCCAAAACAGCTTTTAGTAGAAAACCTTTAAACCTTGATGCATAGACCGTCTCTATTCTTTCCCAATCTATCGTTTGTTACAGCACCACAATGTCAACTTTCGTGGAGACTGAATAAATACAACAACTACTGCTACAAGCTGATACGGGATCCAGTCAGCTGGTCAGAGGCAGACAGGGGATGTAGACGACTCGATGCTCATCTTGCGTCTGTCCTTGACTATCAGGAAAGCCGATTCATCACACGTCTCATGAGAGATGGTAAGTAATACAAGATTAGAATAAAACAAGCTACATTTCAGCTAATGAAAAAATTCCACAGCCCACTTAATCATACAAAATGTGGGACATTTCATTAGCTATTGTCTTTCCGAAAAAGTCAAAACCTGCAATGTTAATTAAAACTATTTCCATGACCTCATACCTTATATCTGTCTAACCACATTTCTACCCTACATGGCAGGACAAGCAGTATCATTACGTAAGTAAGTAACTAACCTTCATTTAACTGCAGTCGATAATAGACTTGTCTGGCTGGGCCTGAGGAGAGAAGCGCCTTCTTCACCAGACGGACGGTGGATGTGGAAGTGGACGGATGGTTCACGATGTTCTTACACGAACTGGGTTCCAGGGGAGCCTAACAATGACCCGATGGCTGAAGGACCTAAGGGAGAACACTGTGCTGGCGCTAGGCCTCGGGTGAGTGTTCCTTATTGTTTCAAGTTACAAAATGTATTCTAACACGTAAAATAATTTTAGTAAAATGTTTTTCGTTCATTCCAGCGGAGACCACTTGATTGGAAGTAAAGAACAGTAGAACCAACATAGTAACTTTTAGGTCAACTTTCGGATTGTTTAGGAAATGAAGCTTAAAACCAAAATACTTTTTTCTTTCCTGTGTTCCATTTTCTTCCAGAGAATGATGGCATTTTGCAAAGTAAATTTGTCAGAATTTACTTCCTTTCTATTATGTTGCACGAAACTAGATACAGATAGATTCTATATGACATACTCGTAGTGGAGGCTAATTATCTAAATGCAATATGGGAATGTTACCTGTGAAAAAGGTATAGTGTGTGTAACTTTTTTTCAACAGGCCGGTACCGGACATTGGATTGAGGTATTTCTAGGCACAGCTGGGAAAAGCGGACAGTGGAATGACAGGAATTGCGAACATCGCCACCCGTATATTTGCATGACTCCCAATCAATAATCACATCATGTAAAAACCACCATCAACCTTATGTTGTCCGTGTCTGAGATGATGACAAAAGAACACTGTCAGGTCCCAGACTTGGGATGACATTATCTTCCAAGCAGAGGTTTGGATTTTGGTTTATTTTTGGCGTGTTTTTAGACTTTTTTATCGGGGTTTCTTTTTTGCACTGGAATCTTTTACAAAAAAATTGGGTTGGGTGAAAGAAAAATTCCAGTGCAAAAAAGAAACCCCGATAAAAAAAAGTCTTAAAAACATGCCAAAAATAACCCAAAACCCGAACCTCTGCTTGGAGAGTAGGGTGATATATATATTGTCTTTTGGATACAGTATTTTGGAGTTGTATAAACAACACATAATCTTATTGCTTGAGAAACTTGTAAGGGAGTGATAGATGTTTTTCCGAGGTTCCTTCTGTAACCTAATAGCGAGAAGTATTGAACAGTTCCATGTGCTATGTGGTTGAGAAAGCACCCATAATAATGTTTATTGACATGCAGCAAACCTGTTATTTTACATGCTCTGTGCTTAAAATTGTTTTGAATTATGAAATGTTAGTGTCGTAATTTTGTGTGCATACTTGACTATATATCTGTGTTAAATTACAGAATCTTCATAAACTCCTGGTTGATCATACCAGATTTAATGCAAAGATTAAAAAAGGGAAAGGATCAGATGTTTTGACATGATCGACATTAAAAAGGATAGAAATGATGACTTGTACGATGATGGACTTGAGACTTTAAGACTTTATGTCAATTACCATTAGCAGTGGGCCCAAGGTTACCCATCTCCAGAGAGCCACCAAGTTATACACTGATGTTATATATTCATACTATGTTCAGGAAATTGAATTACTGTTAATAACAGTGCTGTTTACTTAGTAATTTTTTTATTACATATTATCATAAATGGCTGTATTTGAAGTAACAAAATGACTATAGCAATGATGTTTTGAGAAGTTGGCATGATATATCACTTTGTTGTTTATTAAATGCATCTGTGCCATAGACACGATATAATGGTGCAATGGCTTTGATTCCTCCACTTGTTGTTCACTGCCTAATGAGAGACATTTAGTAGCTAGCTAACGTTATACAATGTAATTGATTGAAGTATCTAATCTAATCTAATCAAATCAATACAAAGGTCACCAAGGCAGCATTGCTGATATCGAATGCCCCTTTCAAAACATTCTTCCGGACAGTTCATAGCTAAACTGATCGCCATGAAACAAAGCACCCCCATGAAACTCCTTCCTCTTCGCCCCCGCCGTTCTGCTTCGCCCCCGCCCCGTTCTGCTTCGCCCCCGCAAAAAATCTGCTTCGCCCCCGTCGTTCCTCTACGCCCCCGGCACAATTCTGCTTTGCCCCCGTCCTTCTGCTTAGCCCCCAATGGCGGCACAGCTCACAGTCGACACGAAAATCGTCTGCAAAATAACAATAAAGGCTGTGCCGCCAAATTTAAAGTAGCCCATGCTCCGGCAAACATTCTGGACCACCTTTCTGCCAAGTGGCGTTGCACAAATCCTTCCCATTCAAAAGTTTACCCCTACCTCACGGCCCGTCAGTGGTTCTTACGTTTATAAGTACTGGCGGGAAATTTCACTCACGGCTGTACTTATAAACGCCAGTACTTATAAACGTAAGAACCACTGACGGGCCGTGAGGTAGGGGTAAACTTTTGAATGGGAAGGATTTGTGCAACGCCACTTGGCAGAAAGGTGGTCCAGAATGTTTGCCGGGGCATGGACTACTTTAAATTTGGCGGCACAGCCTTTATTGTTATTTTGCAGACGATTTTCGTGTCGACTGTGAGCTGTGCCGCCATTGGGGGCTAAGCAGAAGGACGGGGGCAAAGCAGAATTGCGCCGGGGGCGTAGAGGAACGACGGGGGCGAAGCAGATTTTTTGCGGGGGCGAAGCAGAACGGGGCGGGGGCGAAGCAGAACGGCGGGGGCGAAGAGGAAGGAGTTTCATGGGGGTGCAAAGAATCCTGTTGAAAACATACGGAGGAAGAACAAGGAGACACCTTCCGGACGTAACATCAGATTGAGTGTCTATCCATGTAATGTCCTCGGTTTTCAATATCTTTAGTATTCGTCTGCTTACTTTCAATCATTCCAATAAATAAATCGCCTTGCATAGTGGACGAGTCCATTATTGATGTAAACAATTTATTTACATTGAATGTTTCAATCAACATCTTGTAAATGACTGAAATCTACCATTTATGACATTTGTTACCAATATTTTGTAGTTGAAATAGAGAATTGAATGGTCTTGAATCAAAGAAAACAAACAAAACCCCTCAATACTAAGTGGTACGTACTAACTTCCGGGTTAGAGGTCAACATCTGCACCAGTTCCCGCCTCCCGAGAACTGCATGCACCAAGTTACATTGTGTGTGTTAAATATTAGTGGGCGTGTTCGCCAAGTACGTGACTTCAGAATTTCATTGTTTCCAGCGACATCTGCTATTGTTTGAACCATGGGAGAACCAGAAAGGATATGGACCGAGGAGCAGGCTCTGTCGGACGATGTCGGCAAGAAAGATCTGATCAAATTTCTGCAAGACCATGCTTCCAAGGAGGTGAACATTTATCCATTTTAAAATTTATTCAGAAATGTTCTGAGCCCTTGATGTTTATAACACATGTCCTGCATTATTTTTGCAAAATTACGACTTTGCAATGCATGTATTTACTATTCATCGTTGTACACCAGGAAAGGGATACTTGGGTGATCATGAAAGTGCACCAATATTGTATTTTGATTAAAATATCCGCAATAGATGGACGGTTCCAGGTGCAGTAATTCAGCTGCAATGGTGCATTGTATTTTTCTGCAGTTTCTTGCAAACCACAAGATGCTGGGCAGCGCCAAGAACGTTGCCAAGACGAGCAAGAAGGAAAACCTGGTGGAGGCTTACAAACAGATGTTTGACACCAAGGTAAGATGAACATGTAACGTTATACCTGATATAAATTCTCATTACCAGGGTATGAATAATAATGGTGGCAGATATTGATCAACATTGCATTATGTTTTATAGATTTCTGTGACATGGGAATATTGCCAAATTAGATAATCATTTATGACAGATAACGTTAACCATCAATCAATTATTTCCATTTTTATTTATCATTTTTTGTTGTTTTCATATACAAACATATATAACTACATGTATACCAACATTTTCCATGTAGTATTTTCTTAAGTCAAAGTAGAATGGGGGAGAGGGGGGGCAACCAATTATTGAGTGATCATGAATTATATATCATGAATTATATATAACATAAGTTACATCTTATGATTCTTAGTTTGTTGGTTACATGTGTTTTCTTCATAAATCATGTAAACTTAAGCTGAGAGTTGATAGAGCTGTTAGAGTACTCTGATATATTTTTTTAGCATAGGCTACAATAGATGTATGGCTAGTCCATTTTGTTGATAACAGTCAGGATTTGTTGCAGGCATTCAAAGATGCTGCACAGGACAAGGAGTTTGATGAGATGACTGCAAAGGCTAAAGAACTCAAGATGTCTGAGAAGGCAAAAGGAGAGGAAGAGGAGGAGGAGGTAGCTGGGTGATTTTAAGCTAGTTAAAAGAGAGCAGGAAATAACTAGTACTGTATTCAGTGATTGCAAGTTTGTTAGTTCTTAGTTTTTTAGGAGTGGAATTTTCTACAACTGCATTTCTTAAATAATAATAACAATACATAATTGTTTCTTGTTATTTAGTCAACACAACCTGTCATCCTAGTTTGGAGTGGGTTGATGACACCTCTCAGAAAATGAGTTTTTTTTTTCTGTTGGACATTTTTCCCCTCCAGGCTGCAGAAGCTCCCAAATACACCAAACAGATCCTGAAGAAGGGTGATGGGAAGAACTTCCCCAGTAAGGGAGACCTGGTGTCCTGCTGGTACAAAGGGATGCTGGAGGATGGCACTGTGTTCGACACAAACATCTCCGATGGTCAGCAGGAACTTTTCTCTCTCGTTTTGCTGAGTGGCAAGCCTAATACTAGAATAGTACTGTATGTAAGCTGTCTTCAAAAATTCTAGCAATTCCTCAGGAATTCATTTTCTCAGGAATTCATACTTCACACGCGTACGCATCAGTTTTACTCAGAAGCATTGTAAATAGATGAATGGCTCTTCAGAGGTAGATCTGGCCAAATGTTACCCCAGGTAAAAGGCCAAAAGTTGTCAGGTTACCCCAACTGCAATGACAAAGAAACACAACAAGAAATCCAACAAGAAAACTTCCGGTATGTAGATTTATGGTTTGTGTTGTGTTGTGTTGTGTTGTGTTGTGTTGTGTTGTGTGGTAATGTAATGTAATGTAATGTTGTGATGTTGAAAGTGTTAATGGCAAAAAAACAACTATTTTACAGGGAGCAGGAAGAAGAAAGCAACTGCCCTGAAGTTCAAGGTTGGAACAGGCAGAGTTATCAGAGGGGTATGTCTTAAGGAATTGTTATAAAGTACTGCATAATTCTGCCCATTCAGACATATGTCATGATCACTTCTCAACATCCGACACTCCACATTAGGGTGTTATAGTCTCAACTACATCTTGCCAATAGATTGTGCAGTGGTCCCAAACGTCACTGTGTTTATATCCCCTTGCAGCAGGAAAAAGCTTAAGCAGAGATCATTATTGTCTTATGAAGGCAGCTGACTAGTTGCTGAAAGGTTAGCACAGAAGAAAAGTGTAGTTGTTTAACACCTTTACCTTCAAATGACATAGTAACAAACATTATTAATATTATAGCTAAGATTTCATTTGGTTTTTTTCCAGTGGGATGAAGGACTGATGACCATGAGTAAGGGGGAGAAAGCCAAGCTTGTCATTGAGCCAGACTGGGCCTACGGTAGGAAGGGGCTAGAGAAGAAGTATCCTTTCGTACTGTCTTTTGTTGACTTCTGTCACCATACTTGTTACTACAACCCATTTTTTTGGCTATGTATAATTGCTTCAGTCCCTTGTACATAATTTGCATGTAAAGTATTGTCGTAAAAGTGGGTTGATTTATTCCTTGACAAAGACTGGTGATGTACTGTTGGAAATTTTATTCATAATGATTATAAATTACTTGTACCAACAGAGATGGACTTTTAAAGGAATGTTATACTGGTTGGAAAATCCCTTCACAGATCTGGTTACACTAACATTTCCTTGACCTTTAACCTCAGAATCCCTCCTCATGCAACATTAACCTTTGAGGTGGAGCTGGAGAACATAGAGTGACCAGGTCAGAGTTCATCCAGGGGTTAAAGTGCACACCACATACAGTAGTGTAGTAAGCCTCCTGCCATGCATGGAAGGCAGGGGATCACCTGGAAGATTTGTTAAGGACAGAACTCATTATATATGCTCTACACAACTGTGCTTCCATTCATGTAGAAGGCAGTTATAGAAGGGTAGAACTGAACTAAATTGTACATGATATGAAACTAAAGTGGGGTAGTCCCTATGTCATCAAAATGACAGTACCTGAGCAGTAAGTTGTGGTAGGTTGTCAGCAATTCCGTCTTCTAACATCCACCAGGGAAGTCTGTATGTAACCTAAGCTTGCTGTGGCAGAGTATCCCAAGATTCATGGTGACAGATGATCCAGAGATACTCTGCTACCTGACCGGCTAAGGTCACATAACACACTGACTTCATGAAGGATGCAAAAAGAGGAAATTGTGGATGACCTCATAACCACCAGTAGCTGGTTGGCTGGCACCATTTTGATGCCTTGCATGCAGATGTAGATTGTTACCCATCGATACCAAGGCTCTGGACTATAACTGTGGGTTGGATTAGTATTATGTACAGAGGGGCTATCACAGACTGATATGCAAAGTATTTTGTTTATTTGTTTGTTTCTTGTTGTAATGCGTGTTATTTGATGACACAAAAACCTCCAGAGTGATATTTTCTTTCGTCTCAAATACCTTTGTCTGATATATTCCTATCAAAGCGGTGTTTACAAGTTGTCACCTAAGTTGTGTCTTAGAGGCACTGTCAAGATGTGACACTTGTGTCTTGAGTTTTTATTTTACTGGCATCAAAAGTGTAAGAAAGTCAACTTTCCAGTCAAGTCATCATTATGACCATTGCTGTATACTTGTAGACACAGTTGCTATAGCTGTGACTTCTAGACAAGGTGATCCTGGATATGTCAGAGAGAAATCTACTGTTTATTTTTGTGGCAATATAGAGATAACTGTTCAAGTTAACTTTCATTATGCTGTTATTCAAACAATCTTGGCAAAATTTGATTTTAGTCTACATTGCCTTTTTTTTCTTTTTCTTTTGTAACGCTTTTGTCATGGCTAGTAAATAACCTCCATGAAATAACAAAGACATTCCCATTTTATTTCATGTTATTTTAGAAATCACTGAAAAAGGAAATTTAGGAAACATAAAGAAATGTTACCTGATTTACAACAAGATTTAAGCCATTCTGATTGTGAAATCTTTTTGACACCTTTTAAAGGTATATTTGAAAAGCAGTCTTATGATATTTGACTTATTTAGGTACTGAAACAGGCAGCTAACAATGAGACAAATTGTGAGAATGACATGTTGTCAACTGCTGTTGTGAAAGTTTAGGTTAGCATTTTTTTGTATATGAGATGCCACAAGTCTTTGCCAGACATTGATAGATAGAAGCCAGTTACTTGTCCAATAATAAAAGGTATCTAAAAGGTGGCATACATCCTTTGTCTTTTTATCAATATTTGTGATAATTGCCATAACCACCCCTTTGAATCATTCACTGAGGGATTGTTCTTAACTGTGGCAATTTGAACCCACAACACCAAAATAAAAGAGAGACTCAACCCACTAGGTTATTTTATCAGAAAAATATTCAAAGAGCATCCAAAAATCTCTCTCTCTCTCTTTCTCACACACTCACGCTCTCTCTATCTCTCTCTTTTCAAGTATTACAATACACTTACAAAACATATCCATGTATTTATTATGTACATTTCATATATAGAAGACATTAACTTGGTAAAGCAAAGATGCTGCATGATTAGAACTATTTACTTTGACACGTTTCTGCAGCTTATACCCTGTCTTGGTAACACAAATGTATATTGCCCTCCAAAAGCATTGATTTAGAAAACAACTCTGGGAGGCCATATAACTTGAAATGTTGCAATGTGACATCTTGAGAAATTCAAGGTTAATGTATATCAGCATAACATAGCTCTAAAGTTGCAAGCATTTCTTATGAAGTTTCACACAAAGGTGTACTCTTCAAAAACCAACATATATACTTGCAATGTTGGTTCCAATTCAACCAGGGTATCCAATACTAGTATATGTGGTAGGTATAGATTCTACAATATCACTGCCACACTATTTACAATTAACCTTTTTTGCAAAGAACAAAACACTTTTACAGCAGACCTTGCTGCTCAGTAATTTAAGTTTGTCAGGTTATAAATTTTGACTAGATGTACATATGGAACATGCCAAAAGCTGAACAAGTAGTAGCATTAGGTTGAAAGTCTGTGATACTAGTAGTTTCAGAGGTGATAGTGTGATACAATGTGATGGGATTGTACAGCAGGCACTATTCGAGATAAATTAGAAATAGTTTGATATTAGTCTATCTACAAGTCTTCATTTTCAAAGATAGATCTCTGTTCCTTTTCATCCCCTTCCTGACGACTGACCGTCACTTATCAGACCATGGCCTTCATCACAAGCTGCCTCAGGTGCATTTTCTCCTGCTGGCTGAGTCTGTCGGTGGCGCGCTTCAACACATCCTCCGGGGCATCAGGCGACAGCAGCTGCTCGATGACCTGGGCACGACCCTTCTCGTTCCCGTTGCCGTTGGTTTTCCTGACGCTCGGGGCTTGCTGCTCAGACACGGTGGACATGGCCCTGGCGTGCGCCGCGAACATCGTGTCATGGTGGCCCAGTCCGTCCGCGTGCACCTGCATGCTGGGGTCGAAGTCCCGCCGCTGTTGATTGGCCACCGGGTACCGGTAGGCCTGTTTAAGCCCTAGCATGGTGTCCTCTTGACCTAATCCCTCCGTCTGGGCCTGCAGGCTGGCGTCGGGGCGACGGCGCAGGTGTTGCCCGGTGGTGGAGGCGGCGGCGGCGGCCGGTTCTGTCACACCCATCGCCTTGCCCTGCAGGACTTCCGTCAGCTGCACCAGCCTCTGACGTGGCAGCCTCTGTAACTGTGTCAGAATCTTCCACTGTTGCCAGAAATACATGATGATGCCTCCAGATAACCTGCAGATGAAATACATACATCAATTATCGATTAGTGTCTGGTCAGTCGTGCGAAATAATCGGCAAAATACTAGTATAACACGGGCCATTACTTGTTGAAAGAATATATGTAATCTTTCTGTGTTTGACACCTGTTACCAGATGACAACCTGTTACAAGACAACCTCTACTTCGTCATTTCTCAGCTGTCCACGAACTGACGGCCGCTGACGGTAAAAATAGCCCCACTTAGATCCAGGTCATAAAATGGCCCGACTTCTATAATTATTAACTACGACCTTCTCACTGTATGGCCTTCGAGTGCCAGGGGAATGTTTAACCTTCATCAAGACATTGAGAGGGGCGATCGTAACGTTTGATATCTGCTTCTTGTTATGACTAGGCAGAGATAATGTCACGATCTTCCCTCGCAACATCTGCTTGGAGATAAAGGAGGGCCATGACCAGGGAGGGGTTCTGCCTTTATACGGCTCAACGCTCAAATGTTGTATTAGTGACATTGTGGAGCAAGATTAGTAGTTGTGCAGTAGTTATACTTAATTTGCGGCGTCGCTTCGCGGTTAAAAGCCGTTTCAAACGATTCAACGTTTTTCCCACAGCAGATGTGTGGCGTTCACCTGTCGTACTACTCTGACATGTTTTACTTTTTACTTTGTGCATGGTGGAACTTTTAAAAACATTAGCACTTTTAAAGACGTAAAAAAGAGCCAAATGAACACCTCTAATAAAGAGCATATCATCCGCTTATATAAAATTCAAATGACAGGCCAGACCATGATATAATGCTAACCAGCTACAATACTAACACTTCTGACATTTATACTAGGTACCACTTGTTGGTTGCCCCTCTCTTTAATACACCGTTACCCATATATATCTATCAAAAGATTACCGACTAGTAAATTACCACTCACTAAATGTGTTGTAAAAACAAAAACGACCTGTAAATCACCTACCTTTTCCGTTACCACCTGATACAAACAACACTTGAAGGTAACCAGTGAACCGTCAAAACTAGTCGACAGTACCAGCACTTAATTTATACATGTATAGCTATAGTACCGTTCCACTGCCAGACTGTACTGTCGGTGTGGCAATATCGACCGGCCTTCTAACGGGAAACCACCATCACGTGAACATCACGCAGGTGTGCAGTACAAGGTTCAGCTATGAACGTGATCGTCACTGCCCCCCTCCCCACATATATACCTACACTAGCTGACACGTACAGCACGTAAATACATGTCAGGTGGCGACAAGGTGATATTCTACAACTTTGTAGACACTATACTACAAATATTGTGGCAACTCGAAGAGTTACAACACTATCCCCTACCTTCCGGCTGCGAACCCTCTTTCGCAAAGTGTAACGGCAATCTCTTCCTGTGTGAAGTTTGCCCGGGACCCAATAAAAGAATCGTATCGCATTTCACCATGTACACCTTTTAACGTGTGACCCTTGTGATGACACCTGCTAGTGACACCTTTCATCCTTATAATCCTTTCCAGAATTAACCAGTGGTTCTTTTTCTACATTTTAATCTCAAATTATGCATTTTTTTCTGATTTCGCCTTCGCACACGCACTCACTATAGTCTGCCTACATCCGTATTTGCATAGCGTGTCGGCTAATGTACATACAGTCGGTAAAGTCAATATGACATGACTCTGTTCAATAGGCGGGTCCGTGGCACCACAGTTACGCTATCAGAAACACCTGACGCGGTTTAGCCTCCATATCAGGCTCTTGGGCTGGCGTTTACTTACTTTGGTCGAGATCCCTCTCTCCCAAAAAAAGAAAAGATTGCATTTTGTTTTATTTTAGTGATTGCCCACACTCACTGTCTTCGGATTGCTCTTAGCCAAGAAAATTACGAACTGGAAAAGAGAGCTAAGTAGCAATCGGCGAAAAACGGCAATATTAAAACGTCGCACCGAAACGCCTGCTATGGAGGCTAGCTTGACCAGTCAGTAGTGTAATGCTGTGCACGTACATGTACATGCATTGTACATTGGTCCACAATAGATTTTTTTAATCGAAGGAACGCTTTGATAGCAAAACAGCTAAGTAAAGTGTCACCAGCTTACTATAAGTACATAAGTGTTGGGTTACAATTGCAAAGAAGAACTTCATTTGCACGACAAATTATCTGGGAGCCGTGGCATACATACGGGGAGCCGTAGCGTACACGCACAACGCCCTGACAACTCCCTCTGAATTACCGTCACTCTACTTAGCCACTAACTTCTAGTACGATTTTCTCTCTCAGAAATCCAGGTAGTCTGGCCCATGGAGACTATAAATGCATATATATAGTCATGTAGTATGCAGGCGATCATACATGACATGCATACAGATCTAGGACACAGACTAAACTAAGTGGTGCCTCTAGTTTTCTTGCATATCTAAGTAACCAGTTTTGCAGTTCCAGTGTCGATCGCGACGATTTACATCCTTGATTGTTGACATGGATGGACAAAATTCATCTTGTGATTCCAAAGTTTCTACAATCTACCTATAAATTCTTGTGAGAGTCGCATATAAAACGCTCACTTACCGCCGCCCAGGACTGTTGAATGATGCAGCCCTCCTGCGACCCCGTCTACAGTTGTCTGCACTGCCGGGTCACAGCTAAACATCCGGCTCAGCTCTGCCGCCTGACAGCCGGCCCTTCCACTAGGGTTAGCTGTGGTGGGGGTATGCATGGGGGCATTATGTACAAATTACTAGTATGCCAAATTTTTGACGTGTCGCATTTCGGTAAATACATCAATATCAATATTTTGGAGTAACGTATTACGCTAAACTCAACCATGCCACCCAAAAATTACGATTTACGGCGCAAATTAAACGGCCATAAACTCGTCACAGAATCCTGCAGACCCCCAATAGTGGTACCACCCATTCCCTACCCTACAAACAAGATTTCACGTGTGTGTACAAAATGTATTACCGATGTACAGAAGCCCCCTGAAGCCAGCCATAAACCGCATTACGCATACGGTCGTCCTTGAAATCTATGAAGATACCGTGACCTTTCGCTGTGGTACACCTAAAGGGCGCACCACAGCTATAAAATAATAGTTACATCATATGACCGACGTTATGACATACCAAAGCCAAGTAAAGGTAGCCAAACCTCGCCTAGTATAGTCCAAACCGGGCCACAATGTGAGAGAAACAATATGCCGACGGCGTTAGTAATACATCAAACTATCAAGAACCCATCCGTATACTGCCCCGGAATGGTTTCGCCCAACTAGGCTTAAATTAGAAATTAAAGTATTGCATTGACGTATGTGAGCCTTATATGGCAGCAAAGGTCATAGAACAGCATTCAAACCAAATAGTGGCGAGCCACAGGAGATATATTCGCTGACACTTGTTGACGCAAATGAAAAGTTTCAAGGGCAAGGCAGATGAGGAACAGTATCGAAGTCTTAATTTCTCCACCGATATCTACAGTAGTCAAGCGCCGTAGGTTAAGCCTAGCTTGCCATGTTACTCGATATGGCGAACCGGGTGGTAAACTGCTTCTTTGGTCTCCAGAAGCAAAAATAGGAGACGATGCCGTCAATACTCTACACTAAAGGACATTTATTGAGTTAGAGACTGGTCTGAGTGGAAAAGAACTCATAGAAACGATGTATGACAGAAAACGCTGGAAGCTGAACTACGTTAACACTTCAACTCATTAGAGTATGATTATGTCTGTCTGTCTGTCTGTCTGTCTGTCTGTCTGTATGTATGTATGTATGTATGTATGTATGTATGTATGTATGTATGAAGCTGCGACCGAAGGGGGCTTGCTTTAATGTGACTGCAGTGTTCATGTGTGATGACCATGGCATGGGGTATACTGGTCAGCTTGCTGCTTATGCGTCTGATATATAAAGTGTATAAAATATATGGTAAACAGTTAAGCTGCCGTATAGAAGACGTATGGCATGATATATGTCATATGATCTACATGTCTCTTTGAAATGTTTATAATACACAATAGAGATCATACTCTCATACTGTACAATACTTTCGAAGTCACCAATATCTGACGGATCACGGTTTAGTTTGAGTTAAGGTTTGAATACGACTATGTTTTTGACGGTTTTAATAAACTACATTTAATGGCCAGTCAATGACATATCAATGATACTTAATTTGTTTTATGAATAAGCTGCAAGAATGTATTTGTTGCACCCCAAATAAGCCCTGAAGTGATACATCCGGAGCGAATGATAAATCAATATGAAAGAAAATTACGGCATATCTACCTATAGGACAATAGGACACAGCGTTTTTCAGTCTTACCATGATAAGTCTTAGGGGTCAGATTTTAGCGCCCGACCCTACGCCTGTGCATGTTTCTCACAAATGTATCGAGCGACATTGTACAGACGTTTAAAGGTAACCGAAAATCAATTATGTTATATACATATGATATATATCAAAAGGACTTGTTATAAGTTTTGAAACTGGCCACCACGTAGAATTTAATACGCTGGATAGCAGCTGCAGAAGACTAGAACCACTGACATCTAACATCACAGACTACACACGCACCGTAGTATTCTAACAAAATACAGCCAGTACTCGAGCTACCGAGTCACCTGTTTGCGGATGCCGTGCAATGCGGATGTATACATTGTCTCGACTTGATTGTACATACAGATACCCGTACCTAATAAGTCCGAAGCATTCAACCTGCAGAGTGAACAATAGAAAATCTCTCGTATACTTATAATTAAGCTTTTTTCAAACGCAGCAGGCCATTAAAACATTGATTCTGTTGATCTGTAACTTAGGACTTATACACTACTACTTGTGGAGTAAACACACATTACACACCTGTCGACCCGTCCTTATATAGTTCTTGATGCACAGGCTTAAGCTAAGTATCCAAAACAAAGGGATACCTTGCTTGGTCCTGGTGTTCATCTGCAGATGGCAGCGTAGTGGTATGTGTGTCGTCTCCCCCACTCGAACGAAAACCCCACCGATCTGCTGAAGCCCGACGACTGGCGACGGTGTTCGCCCGGGTGGGGGAGAGACGCTGGGCGGCCGCTGGGCGACAGGAGCCCGCACGGGTACAGGGTGGTGACGGGGGTACATTCGACGATTTTCCGGTTCAAGTCGCTTCGCTTTGCTGGTCAGACAGACGGTAACGCCGTGCGTGTGGTTGTTTGTATACACTCCACATGCTAGTAGAAATTTTCATTTTTTTCTCTCGTATACGTGTAGGATTACCTCAAAAGAGACACGGACACCGTATTGAAAATAGTTATTTGACCTGTCTCCTATTTAAATCATCGAAACTTTGGTATTGCCATTGGTGAATCGTCTAGCATAGATAGCAAAATAAGCTTGTATGATTTTGTAGGCCCTTTGCATGTTTGAAGAGAGTGCTTGAAGTGAATACATTATAAGGATATCGTGTAATTAATAAGGTATAAAAACTATACGAGAACTGTAAAATCATCTCTCGACAACAATGCTCCTTAATAGAACAATAAAAATGATTTCTCAAAAATGATTTAAAAATATCCCCTCATCACCAGAAAACAACGATCACACACATTATGAATTTGTACATAGCAGTATACACCGGTATATGAATATTCACATGACAAGGCCGGCATATATGCAGAGTAGTGCACGAGGAGGATTACTATTGAAGCATATAGATACCCACCTGTTAGACCACACGTTATACCCATCATTTCAGCAACTCCGACAACTACCGGCCCGTCTGGGAAGCAAGACACTCTCTGTCTACGAGCTCCTTCCTCCCTTCCACCCCTTTTAACTCATCAGACATCGTTAAATATCTGCCATGAATGGAGGAGGGAGACATCACGGCGACGTCCCCGTACAAAGGAACGCCAGCTGTACGGGCCACCAGTGGCTGTGGGCGGGCAGGGACCGTGGCCAGGAGGCGCCTCGCCAGCGGGGCCGGCTCGCTAAAACAGGCCCTTTGGTCCCTTTGTATTGTGTGCGATGTTACCGAAGATTAGAAATTTGATACAGATAACACTGGTCGTTTTAAATACGGAAACATAAGACTAATTTTAAAGTTTTGAAAATATTTCTAAACTGGATAAAGGCCAGATACGAGTAATGGCAGAAATAGAGATTCTGCAATATCAGGTGTACCATGTTTTATGCAAAGCTTATTTTTCTGTGGGATACCAACAAATTTAACACCCAAACGATATGTTATTACATCACTATGCGTGTTTAAAATGATCAATTGTAGATCAATTCTTTATAATCCTGCATAGAAGAATGATGAATGAAAACATGGTCTACAGGATCGGTTTTATAAAAAATTTCATTTATCTCATCTAAGAGATATATAAAACATCTACTATTTGGATGAGAGACTATTATGAGTGTGTTTGTTAACACCCACTTAAAGCAAACAAACAAACAAACAAACAAAAATTATGCAGAACGCAGTGCATGATTATGAATCACTAAAATTGTAGTTATTATACACCCTGACTGGAAAGAAAAAGGGAGAAGGAATCTTTAGTCACATTGTCCACTGTACTGACCAAGCTGTTACGTTTATCAGGAAATATTTAAAACACAGATGCCGCCACCGGATAATTATCGACGGACCTTGTGACATCAAAGACCATTCTCAACTTATCATGGGTATTATCCAATTGTAGCATTACACAGGGCATATTTTGCGGCTGATAGCTTTGTCCAAACGTTGACCTTTTTTAAATGAGGGCATTGATCAGTTTATCGACTTTTGAAACCCGGAGAAGTAAAGTGCGTTCGTAAATTCTAGTGGGTGGTCAGCCTAGTAGACGAGATCGAGAGATCTAGGGGTTACGGGTTCGACTCCTGGTCATTTTCCGATTTCTACACACGACTTCCATCGGAAAGTCACTCATGTGAAAATGTGTGCCCGACTTCGTTTGGGAGGTAAAAATGCGCCATTTTAATACCGAGCCCTAGACACTACCACGGCCTACGGTTATGGATTATGTTTATATATGAAATACCTTTATTGTACATTCATGCCACGACGGGCTAGGTACAGGTCAAGATACTGAGTATGACAGACACATAACAAACGTATATAGAAAATTGGAGACAAAAGATGCACTACTTGACTTAGACATACATACATAAGGAACATACAAGGGTACTATACTAGGCTAATACATAGTGTTCTAGTCACTGAGCTAATACAGACAGGTCAACTTCTTCTCGCTTATTTGTACAGTGAAAAATGTGGGAGCAGATCATGTTTGTGATACAGGGTTTGTCTAGACGCATCAAAAATATAAATTTATCATTTGCGCTTAGGTGTTCAAAGTATGGGAACTTCTCTTTGATATAATTAAAAAGGACAGATCTTTCATTAGAATATAAAGTACAGTCTAAAATAAAGTGTTGTTCATCTTCTATTCTATTCATGTTACAGTATTGACAGTCTGTTCTGGAGAGGAATGCGGTTGTGCCGTCCCGTTTCTATGAGTAATTTGTGGCAACTTATTCGG